AATCACATGCCTCGAACATGACAAGACATTAGAATAACATGCTTCTATTATTATAAGCCTTCATTAGTTTTCACTTTCCTTTTTTATTAGGCCTCCCCAAGCATTTCTATCCATATAAACTAATCTGAGGCGAACATTAAAGAAAAAAAAATAAAGACAAGTTGGGAGGCCAAATTCGAAAGGCAAAAGAACAAGTTGGGAGAAACTTGGTGACTACTACAGTACATTCCAAGAGAAAATATATTGGGCATTGCATGGTGTTTTTAATAATACGATAAGCTTATGCAATTTTTTGTTTTGATTAGATGTCTAATTTATCATTGCATGGTGTTTTCTCTTTTGTATTTCTATTGTCTATGCGAATTTAGAGTTAACCAAGTTCTAAGTGAAAAAACATCTCTGATTTTTCAATTACCTTTAGGTAAGAAAAACCAAAAAGGTTAAATGTGCGATAGAAACAAGGAGCTCATGAAGACATGTGCGCGATGAGTAAGAGCTTAATATCATGTAAAAGATCTTCCACATGTTATGTGTTAGGCCAAATGTACATCAACATATCCTCACATGACCATAAAGGTAGAGAAAAAGATTAAAACAAAAGGTGTACGTTGACTATGGGTCTCTACACTATATTAGAAGACAAGCAGAAAATTTTAAAAAATGAGTTTTGTTTTGAAGCATTGATAAATAAAGCTAACAAAATTGTCCATATATGCTTTTTTTTATTTTATACAATATCAGCATTGTCTAGACTATGTGCATGCACGTGCTGCTGTTTGTGTGTGTATGTGTGTGTGTGTATGTGCGTGCATGCACGCCCAGCAAGATGAGGAGCATGCTTGCTTGAGAAATCAAACTGCTAGTGATTGCAAGATGGATGCATTGCTAAATAAAAGTTGCAAGTATCGGATGCACATAATTCATACTAGAATTGATGGAGAATTCAAGAATTCAGCAAAATCATCGTGAGGAGCGCACTAGTATTTGATTGTGGTACTAGTAGGAAATAACAAGGTTTGTGAACTAGAGGTTTGAGATGTGTATCCTTTCTCTATATTTAGCATTTGAATAAGGAAAAGCTTAATATTAAAATAAATGAGATTATAGAATATAATATTGTGTTATATAATTCTTTTGGAAGAAGAATCCAACACATTTTGAGAAGAATCTAGTCGAGTTAACTTCCATTTGTACATGTTCTGAAGACTCCTCTCTTTGTGATTCTTTGAAAGGAAGAGTCTAGCCATGTCCATGCTGTAACTGTCATTGTACCTATGTCCAGCAGATAGTTACCCGATCGCATACCAAGGTAGCAATTCCGGTTTGGAGTTGGGACACCGCAATTCCTAGGATGAAACACGAATTTGGAAGCTAGAAATCACGTTTCCTAGTTTTGTGGAATGTGTTCCAAATTATTATGTGAATCTCGATTCTTGGAAGGTTGGAATCTAGATTCCATATCATCGAATTTGTGATTCATAGTTGCATAGCAACGTGATATAATATGTGCGAGACGTTGATTCCAAGTTTTTAGGAATTGTGAATCCATGTTGTTTGGAAGCGAGTTCCACATGAACAAAAAGCATAGTTCTTAGATATACCAAACAATGTTTCGATCAACATCAAATCAAGTTCTAATGACACATAATCAAGATTCAACGCATTTATTGAATGAAATATGCTTACAAATTATGTGTTGCGGGAGGAGCTTCAGGAACCTATTCAATGTCAGTAGAGGAGTTCTAGGAACTCTTTCGTATCATGTTACAATTTTGTGCAAGGTGAAGTACCTATGCTTTGGGTTTTGAGACTGTGATGTTGTGAGAACCAAAACGCCTTAAAAAACTCTTGAGATGAGTCCACGTACAATAATCTTTACCAAGTTACCTAACAGATTCATCAATTTATAAATCACAAAGTGGGTGGCAGTCTGACCTCAAGATAAGACATTTGGGTGGAAGCCCCACCTCATGGTAAGATGTTCATAAACGATGCTCCCAATAACCAATGCTTATTATTGATCATTTACTATGCCAAATAAAGGATTATGTGGGGCATATTTGGTGGTTGATCAGTAAAATACCTATAAATGATCATCTATCGACTACGATACTAAGTCGCCTACGATACGAAGTAAAATGTTTATCATTCGATGTCTCATTGTATATTTGGTGGGGTATGGACTGAAACCCCTAAAAGAAAAAAAAAAAAACAACAAAAAAAACAAAAAAAGAATGGGTTAACGGTGTATGAAATTCATGGCCACTTGCGGCCTTTGGATTTTGAGGAAAATGCAACATCTTGGTCTTTCAATATAATACCAAGCTATGGTATCATCCATGGTATTTGCTAGGTTTTACATAGCTAATTTGGGTCAAGCTATGGTATCATGTATGTCTATTCCCCCAATGATTTATTTCAAACTTTAAATCTTTTCTCACAAAATACTTCTCTCCTATACCGGAGGTGATGGGTGCACGATTCTTGAATTGTGGGAGTGTTAATTCCCAATCGATGGGGACAATGATTCTAGTAATGTAGAAATCACAATTCCTATTTTGTCGGATTACGGTTCCGGAAGTCATTGAACCATGGGCGGCACATGTGCGATTCATGAAGGAGATTCAATTCAAATATGATGGGATACCGATTGCTACAAATAAGAATCACTGTTCCTATTTTATTGGATCGCAATTCCGATTATTGGGAATCACGCATCCAATGGATTTCATTGTTCCGATGGCAATTCCAAGATTAGAAATCATCTAGCACATGCGATTCTGCAATTTCGATTCCTGAAATGAATCGGAATCACAGGCGTTTCCAACAAGTATAGTTCAGCCCTGTCCCAACTGAGTTCGTAGCCTAAGGTGAAGAATCCTTCGAACAGAGATCAACTAACAAGATGGAGATCCTTGTGGACTATTTAGTCGTTCCATATTATTTGTTCAAGGTGAGCATAATGGCCCCATCTTCAAGGGTGGGGACATGGTGGTGTGTGAGTGGATTAGAGATTTGGTTATATCTTGTGCTCTTATCCTTATCGAGTTCCATGGTGAAGCAGAATTGGTGGGAGATTGGTTGTTGTTGACGCATTCCGGTCCTACTAGTGATATCATTCAAAGAGAATCAGTGTGAACATGCATAGAGGATCAGTATGGACCTTGGTTTGCTCAGGATATCAGACGAAAATACAATTTGCCAAAAATATATTGGATGGGCATGGATACGGAGTAATGATACGTAGGTCGAATATCCCTCTCGTATGGTTTGGGTCCTGAATTTGACAAACTAGTGGTAAGTTCAATTGTTTTTTGAGAAAACCAGTAAACACCAATTCTTAAGTGATGCTTCTCAAGTGTCTTGGGTGCTAACTGATCGAGGGATGTATAACTGAGCCGTGTTTAGTTAATGGTGAGGTGGTCAATTCTTCAGCATTGTTAATTAGAACTGGGTGGACAAAGTGGAGATGTGCTTCCGGAATCCTATGCGATCATCGCATACCAGTAAAACTGAAGGGGAAGTTCTATAGGACAGCTGTGAGACAGGTCATGCTTTATGGGACAATGATGGGTGGTCAAGGAACAAAATATTCATAGAATGAGTATAATTGAGATGAGGATGTTGAGATGAATGAGTAACAAGACATAAAAGGATAGAATTTGAAACGAATACATCCAAGGGAACTTAGGGGTGGTTCTAATAGGTGATAAGATGAGGGGAAGTAGACTTAGGTGGTCTGGCTATGTGTAGCTCGACCTATAGCAACACTTGTTAGGAGGGCAATTCGGTTCAAGTGGAAGGCTCTAAAAGGGGAAGGGGAAGGCCCAAAAGGACATGGATGGATGGAAGTAGTGAGAAGAGATATGGTAACTTACGGTCTGGCTCAAGGTATGTCCTTTGATAGAGCGGAATGTCCAAACAAGTTTTGTGTAGCCGAACCCAATTAGTTGGAATAAGGCTCGGATAATGATGCTAAACATGGAGTGGACATAATGTTTAATGTTTTAGATTTGGGAGTAATGCTTCTGCCATTGACTGCTGTATGAGTTCACTTGTATGCAGACAAGAATATAGAAAAGGATCAATTCAAAGAACATCAATGGAAAAAGTGTAACTCCACTTGAGATCCATGAGGGCCAATTTTGGTTGTTGCATTTGTTTTGAGCTTGCCTATGGAAACTTCGGTGGGGGCACTACTTTTGGCCTGGTTCTGTGAGCATGATTCGCATTGGTAGGAAAATGAAAAACTGTTCTTGTCGTAGGCTTTAAATTCAGAATTTTCTGTGGTTCCCAATTGTTGTAATTTTTTGTATATGCATGCATACACACACACGCACACATATATATAATTGTTATGCAGTATCTACATTTGTTGTTATCATATATATTTCTATGAATGTATGTACCTATGCATGTCCATGCATGTATGTTTGTTGGTGCATCATGCACTCCAATTCAATTTATATTTGTCACCCTACTGTCATAGAGCCTTTGTAATATACAAAATTATTGCAGTTTGTGGTGTGGACTGTTGGTATTCATTACAATGGTCTCTTTTGTGTGTTTATCACAATTGATGCTGAGTATTTGAGCATTGCCTCCATGATTGCTATGACTCAGAGTTATAGCTTAAAGTGATTTCTGTGACAATTTTGACCTGTAATGTTGGTTGTTGTTTATGAAATTTCATGCAATTTTGTGATGCTATATCATCAGAAGTCTAGTTTTGCTGCACAAATTGGTATGTACTGTTGGGTTTTGTGACAACCTTTGGCAACTGAAGTTGGTTTGTCTAAGTTGGTGTTGTATCATTCTGGATGACCTTTCGGTAGATTTTATTAAAGATTTTATGTCTAAGTTGGTGTTGTATCTTTCTGGATGACCTTTTGGTAGATTTTATTAAAGATTTTATTGGAAATGTGTACTTAAGTTGATGGATACAGAATATTTGTGCTCACAAATATGGTGATTTTGATTCTTCTTTTTTTCCCATGCAGAACAGGTTGAGAAGGAAAGGGAACGTGTTCTTGTTCATTGCATGTCAGGGCAAAACAGGTTGATTATTTTTGTTATATGATCTTATAATTGACAGGCATGTTGTATCTTATATCCTATTCAATGATTGAATAACTCGCATCACCATTGGAACAGATCCCCAGCTATTGTAATTGCATACCTCATGAAATGCAAAAGATGGAGACTCGCTCAGAGTTACCAATGGGTTAAGGATCGCAGGCCATCAGTGAACCTTAGTCCAGGTAATTTCATGTCACTATTCAATCTCATGGAATTACCGTCTGTCCAAATCTCTGCTTTCATGTTACAACTTATAGAATTATGATGGGAATTTCCTTCTAGTTTATGGATGACACTAAGTTAGGACTTGTGCACTTTTGATAGTAACATCTAGTATTGCCCTGAGGTATGTGTGATTTGTGATTCTCGTAATTGGCTTGATTAGGGCTATAGTGGTGTGGCCCTTTGTCTACTCTCTTCCTTAACTTCTAAGGACACTGAATTAGATGGATACTTCTGAAACTGTTTTACTTGGGTGGGCCTTGGAATGGGCCAAAAAACACATATTAGTGGTTCTTATTTTGGATAATTGAATAAAAATAATTATTATAATGAGCACATATAGTTTGTTCCTGTGGGAGCAGAATGTTTCACTTCCTCCCTCAGGCAAAAGGCTCAGGAGGATTTTCTTGATCAAATCCACAAAAGAATCGCCATATGAACGCTTTCAGAAAAGGAAAAGGGGATCTTAAGTTCGTAAACGCATTCATCTGACCCATAGTTACAGGGATCTTCTAAGGAAAAGGATTCACTCCGCTTTGAAAGCTCAATCCCTCGCTCCGAGACACAGACCTCAATTCCAGGCGATTCCGTGATATTTGGGATCTCATTTCGGGAAATTAGGGAGCTTGATTCCATGTAAATGTGATCCAGATGCCTATGCCAAAAATCATTCTATAATCCAGCGGAACCACGATTCCACCAACTTGGAACCGATTATCCTCTACTTTCAGAAGTTTCACCAGCATATGTTTTGTCCCAATTACAATGGAGTGTGGATCTCCAATTTTTCAATACCAAAAAACTTTCTGAATGTTGTGATTTCCTACGTATTGTGTAGTACACAACTATTCACACCTTGTGATTTGTGTCTTGTATCTCATTTCAAAGAATGGCAACAATTGTGAGCAAGGAGAAAGAAGGAAGGAGTGGAAGGGTCGTGCTGGAGAATATTGAGGAATGAGGACGTGATCAATGCGCTTCACTTCATTGGGCCTAGTTCATTGGGTCATGTCCACTTCATGTAGGACTTCTATCATTTGAGTATTGATCAACCAATTCGAGCCCCTCGTGGGCTTGCCTTTCTGGTGATGGAATAACATGTATGCTTGGAAAATGTGACTTCTCGTTTGTATGTCATTGAGCCCCTAGCAATCCTTTCTAAATGTTGTGATTTCCTATGTATTGTGTAGTACACACTATTCACACCTTGTGATTTGTGTCTTGTGTTTAATTTCAAAGAAAGGCAACAAGTGTGAGCAAGGAGAAAAGAGGGGAAGGAGACACAAAAGTTAGTCGCGCTACGGTTATATTAAGGAATGACGACATGATCAATACGCTTCACTTCATTGGGGCTAGTTCATTGGTCATGTCCACTTCCTGTAGGACTTCTATCGTTTGAGTATTAGGCAACAAATTCAAGCCCTTGGTGGGCTTGCCTTACGGGTGATGGAATAACATGTATACTTGGAAAATGTGAGGTCCTTCTCGTTTCTATGTCATTGAACCCCTAGCAATCCTTGCCGAGGTCAAGGACACAAAGCTCTCTTCGTGCCCTAGGACTCATGTAGACTATATTGGATTTAAAGAGAATTTCATTAACATGATTCTTGTCTACTTTGGTAGTTGGTTTTGTGAATTTGGATGAAGCTAAACATATTGTTCATTGGAATTCGCTCTCAAATTACAATACATGGAAAAGTGAACTTTAGGAATCTCAATCCTATGCACAGTGGAACACGATCCTGTTTATTAAGAAACCTATGCGAATAAGAAACACGCTCCTGTATGGAACACACTCCCTGAAAGTGAGGGATCTCGGTTCCTTTACATGACCATGTATGGACCTTGTTCCCCCCCCTGCCACAGAACTTCGAGCCTGCCTCACTAGACACTCCCGGTCATGGAGCTCTTGTTGCTACCATTCTGGGTAACTATGATCTAACCATCTGACCATCCAAAAGTTGGGCAGTCTTTGTTCAATTCTAGGACTTGATTAGTTTTTAGGTAGGAGCAAATGTACATTTTACTCTTGCAGGAGTGTTAAATATTTTTAATGAGATAATTAGGCAAAGACTAGATGGTCCTACAAGACCATACTCTTCATTGGGCCCTCACCTAAATCCACCACTTTTGATTGTGCGAGGGACCGACAAAAGCTCCAAAATCAGTCTTAACGTTCAAAATCATTTTCCAATAAGAATTAGGTTTTACTCAAACCCACCCTAGGGATCAAACTGCACTATCCATTTTAGACATTTTATTTGCGAGACTTGGCTTCAGATTCTTCGCATACGTTTTCAAAACTTTGTGACTTTCCCTGGATATAGGTAAGCTCAAGTTTGGTTATTGGCATCGTTCTTTCCAATTTTTGTCTTTGAACCTTTGCTCTTCTAGTTTTTACTTTTCATCTCGTGATGCTCCACATCTCATTTTAATGTATTCTTGCCACAATTAAACCTAGTCACCTAAATCTTCAATTATGTTCTATAATCTTGGAAAATAACTCTCTTCTTGCTACCATAAATTTGTTGGACCTTGTTGTTCCAACCTTCTCTTGAACGAGGACAAGTCCCTCTACCTTCAAGTCTTGGAAAAATTGTTCTCCCAAGCCTTAGACATGTTGTATTCTTCAGTGATCATGAGGGTTAATTTTTGGATTGAGCCTGGGAACTAGGGAAGGCCTAGGTCCAAGTTAGCACCTCAGACTCGGCTAGTTCCAGTTAGACTGGGTCGAGTCTTCAAAAAAGAAACAAAAAAGAAAATAAAATCTTGGAATTGATGGGATTCAATTTGTTCTCATGGTTTTTCACTTGGACCCAGTTTCCTCCTTGTACTGGCACCTAGTTCTCGAGGTTTTCAGTGACTTGTTTGAATTTAAGTTAAGACTCAATGAGTTTTGGTGCAATGGTTATGTCACGACCACGTAGCCTGGACTCATGTAAAGCATTGAGGCCATTTTGAGATCTTTGCCTTATGTGTCTGCACTACGAAATTCTCATGCTTAGTTCGATTGGTCAACCACTGTGGAAATCCTTGTTAGTAAAGTAATGCTCTAGATGCAACCAATAAGATAATAGAAAAGAAATGCTCTAGTAACAAAACTTGTAAGGCTCGTTTATCACAATATTGTTAAGATTGGACTAGAGGCTGGAACGGTGATGGCACTGATACGGTCAAACCAATTGAATCAGACTGGTTCTTTGGTTATTGTCCAATAATTTAAAGATAAAAATATAAGGAAAAAAACAAAAGATTGAGAAAAATGACAAATGAATATGAGCTATCAAAATTGGAAAATTTGAGTAATTGACGAAAAGAATTAGATTACTCATTTCACTATTCATATCAATATCAGAATACGGAAAAAAAAAAAACCACATTCTAAACTAGGGAACAATTTCATGGTTTAGTATTTCCCATTAAACAACCAATGATCAATTTTTAGTATAAATTTAAAAAGATAGGAAATGCACAGAATTGTAATTAGGGAAAAATCTCTCTATATATGAATACTCCCTATTTTAAGTGAAGCATTTAAGTATACAGTCCAAAATAAAATTTTGACAAATAATTGAAAAACAAGAAAAAGCATTAGTAGACTAAAAAATGTTCCAAATCCACAAATTAAGCATATACCTAAAACATTTTACTATTAAAGCCAAAAACCGCTTCAGAATGAATGGAAGAAACGACCCAATGCAATTTTTTGGAAAACAAACTTCATTGTTTGTAATTTGTAAAATCCTTAAAAAATAAAACATATTTACAATTTTTCCAACTTTTTCCAATCCCAAACAAATAAACGCAAAAACAAATGTATTGGACTTGGGGGTAGAAAACTACGGATTGAGTGGCTAGAATATGTTCGGAAAATTCGCCTGAAGGTTACCCAAATCTTAGTGCTTTCTTCAAGTTAGAATGAGAAAAATTTGGCAGTCTTTTCATTGTGTCTAAAACATTGAAACCCTAAATGTTTTTACCAAAATGCCCCTTATCAAACTCGAAAGGGGAAAGGCCCCCTAAAAGTTGACATATTTTGAGTTAAAAATTGAAAAATCCGAAGGTATTTTAGACCTTATGGGGCCATATTGGACGGGCAAATTTGGTCTCGAACCGGTGGACGGTCCACTTGTTCGAGCCCTGTTCGATTGCCATTCTTGTCTTGGTCGTTTGGATCGACCAAGACAAGAATGGCCACCGGTCCGGCAGTTCCTATCCGAACAGGCCGGTCTGATCTGGTCTTAAAATCATTGGTTTTTCTTGCTGGGGATGTGTGTGCAAGTGCACTCAGCATGTGTATCAATACATATTCCTGTCGTTAAGTTGTGCTAGAACAATTGGAGGGTCAACTTTTTAGTTGCCATTTTTAGTCTTTTTGTGATTTCTTAATAGGCTGGTGCTCTCTTTTCGATCCCTCTTTCATCCAAATTTTTCTTTTTGTCTTCTTTTCTTGTTATCTTTATTTTTTGTTATCTCAACCACGGTGATCATGAATCTGGAAAGAAAGGTAAAATTAGAGATTACACAATAGAATTTTTTAAAATATTTATTATATACCATATGTTTTATATTTTAGCAGAGGGACATTTGATGCATGATATACTCTTCCATCATCTATTCATGTTATTGGATGCCTCTAGTAAAGGGTATCGAACCATCTATTCAAGTATGCATGTATCTGCTCAATCTGCATTATTTTTCAAACTTCAAGTTTTATGATCACAGGCAAAAATATATTGATTTTTGTCAGTATTTTAAAACCTGAACTCACTCCATGAACCGTGCAAAGTTAGGTTTGGATGAACTTGGCATGTTCTAAGTTGACCTGGCAAGTCTTGCCCCCACCACATAGAAAAAGTAAAAACAGTTATGAAAATATTGGAAAAATAGGAGAACATTAAAAAAAAAATTTAAAAAGAAAAAGAAATAGCGTAAATATTAATTTGAATATGTTTCTGGG